ACCTGCGTCTCTGACACTTTAAACTCTGCAGGATGATTGTCAACACGTATTACTTGGCCCTGCATGAACTAGAGTTTTCTTGCTGTTGCTATTTACCGTATTTTGGCAGAAAATCACTTCCCTTTCCAAGTCTTTGCCTAAATGTCCACCACGTCAAAGTTAGGGAAAAGAACTTTGAACTATTTTTTCGAAAAGCAGCGAGAAAGAACTGCTTTTCCAGCAAGTTATCAAATAATCAAGATAACAATGGACTGAACGAATCTAGTAAGGATCAGGGAGATGGGAATATAATTGCAGTTTCTACACGCAATAGCGTCTTAGGCCTTGGCCTAGTGAACGAGAAAAATGAGAAAAATCAAACTTGAGTTGATGGTTACATACAAGAAAAATCTAAACATAACGATACTCTCTCCTTTTCGGAAATAGGAGAACGAGCGAATCAACCAGGCACAGATTATGTTTTCCCAAAATGTAACATTGCAGGTCGCCAAAAGTCTTTTCAACACACCCTTCACGCCCCCTTTCATGCCGGTGTAATATGCGTTTCGGTCCCCCCATGCGAAAGTGTCCGGGGGGACCGAAACGCATAACAAAACGACACTATGCAAAAGTGTCCCCTCTATAAAACAATAGGGGGACACTTTTGCATAACAAAACTGTATGCGAAAGTGTCCGGGGGGACCGAAATGCATAGCAAAACGACACTATGCAAAAGTGTCCCCTCTACAAAACAATAGGGGGACACTTTTGCATAATAAAACTGTATGTGAAAGTGTCCGGGGGGACCGAAATGCATAGCAAAACGACACTATGCAAAAGTGTCCCCTCTACAAAACAATAGGGGGACACTTTTGCATAATAAAACTGTATGTGAAAGTGTCCGGGGGGACCGAAATGCATAGCAAAACGACACTATGCAAAAGTGTCCCCTCTACAAAACAATAGGGGGACACTTTTGCATAACAAAACTGTATGTGAAAGTGTCCGGGGGGACCGAAATGCATAGCAAAACGACACTATGCAAAAGTGTCCCCTCTATAAAACAATATGGGGACACTTTTGCATAACAAAACTGTATGCGAAAGTGTCCGGGGGGACCGAAACGCATAGCAAAACGACACTATGCAAAAGTGTCCCCTCTATAGAACACTATAAAACAATAGGGGGACAATTACCTAAAAACTGATTGCCCTATCCAAAACATCTACGGAAGAGGTCAATAATTGAAATATCGCTCTGGTTTAATTATTCATCAAAATGTCTTATTGATAGGATCAATAAAATATGATTGACTTTCTTCAAATTTGTAATTGACTTTCTTCAAAGTAACATTTATTCATAACTGTATGGCAAAAATTTAAGGGAAACGTAGAAAACTTTATTTAGATCTTATAAAGAGAGGAAATTACAGTTGAAGAGGTAGGACTATTGACACATGAACATAGCATACAGTGGAATCCCGATACAATGAACCCCGGGTATAGCGAACTCCCGATATAACAAACTATTATCTGGTTCCCTTCAGAAATCGTTATACCGGGATTCCACTGTATTTGTTATGTCAAACGAAATCAATAGGTAAAACCAATATATTGTTTCATATTCGTGTGAGACCATGCTATCCACTATCAACTTGCACATATTCATATGAAAGAAAAAGAAGAAATTTCACCATATCCAAGGATTACCAGACTTTACACCACAACTTGAACGTTGAGAAAAGTGCACTCAATAATGTCTCTTCAGCCATATAATAAACCAACCAACATATCCCCACAACATTGAAGTAGCATGTATCAGTGTACATCCACCAATTTTTCCGATCGATTAGGAAAAGTAATAATTTCAAATCACATTGAAAGATAAACTTTTATAACAGTACTTAAAGCCTCGCATTAACAAAACATAAAAGGAAATCTGTATGAATGGAAACAATTCCATAAAATAATAGCACGGGTATATGAGAATAATAGGAAATGGCCTCAGAATGTCTAGGTACTCGTTAATTGTGTACCAGCATGGACACAAACGAATGTCTTATGATATGAAACAACCAACTTGCACATATTGACAGGAAAGTGGAAGGAAGAAATTTCACCATATCCAAGGATTACCAGACTTTACACCACAACCTGAACGTTGAGAAAAGTGCACTCAATAATGTCTCTTCAGCCATATAATAAACCAACCAACCAACATATCCCCACAACATTGAACTAGGATGCGTCAGTGTACATCCAACAATTTTTTCGATCGATTAGGAAATGTAATAATTTTAAATCACATTGAAAGATAAAATTTTATAACAGTACTTAAAGGAGAACTGACACGCAAAAATAAGTTTGGCTAAAACGGTAGTTTGTGACAAGCAAATTCCGGGATCGAAGAAATTTTTTAAATCACAGTTACCGTTTTTGAAATACAGGCGTTTTAAGTTGAGAAACGACAATTGTTCCGACAACTTGAGACTCGAGGCGAAAATCGTCACGAGTGGGCGATCATCTTTGACGTCACAAGTGACATGTTCTCAGCACGTATTGTGTTTCTCTATAGAAACCTTTAAGAAAATGCTGCGGACAAATGTTTATTTTGTGCATCTGAAAGGAGCTAATTTTGCATTTTTGACACATAATTGACTTTTTCAATGGTTTGGGACTCTGAATCCGAGTTTTATTACATTGATTTCGAAACAAATGGAAAATTTCAGCCGTCTTAATTTTTGCTACTAACCAGCGCTGACGCTTGGGCAGACAGTCGTTCCATGGCTCAACAGTGACGATATTATGAACAAAGAACAGACTGGAAGTACAAACTGATATGGAGTTTCTATTAAAAACATTGCTATTGCTACCATCTAAATGGAATCAGGTATCGTAAAACTAGAATTTCATTTCAGATTGAGGGGTCTTTGTCCAGACTGCTTTGTCTGTATGGCCTAATTCGCTGAAATGCCTATGATGCCCTTAACGGAACTGCAAGTTATTCACTATCAATATAGCATTCTATGATTGTTTTTCCATGTTTCAAACTCGTTAACTGTATCGTGATATTAAATAGTAAAGGCGGGTTGAAAGTCTCACTTGTGCGGATTATATGCCATTTTCACCGGGTGTGAAGGGTTTCGGGAATTACCTTTAAGGCTGTTGAAAAATCTGGATCTACGAAATAGGCTCTTAGCTCTTAGTCACAGAACTTGATTTCTTAGTCGAAGAAAATGATTTTTAGTTGTCATAGGAATATCAACTGGCGCATTATCTTCTTTTGCAAACAATTTTGACTTGGGTAGGGGACGGTCTTTTTCAAGACTAGGTTATTCCCTAGTATCTCAACCTCTGTTAAAATACGATAATCAAGTTCAGTGAAATTATTTTTTAGTCACACTCGCAGCTCCCGTCAACCAAGGTTTTCTCTTGAATTCATATTTCTGCACCCAAAGCAGGTTGCAGGATCGCTTTTACCGCCGTCTCCACTAGATTTCGTTTGTCTTTTGGCTATTGCTTCAACCCCCCCTCCCCCATGTTGCGATTTCATTTGTAATTATAAAAGTAAAAACTTTGAAGAAACGGTATCAGTTTTCAAACAAAGTCGACCTCTTTTTTCACAAGCTTAGAGGTTCTTTCAATGTTACAAAGCATGCTGGTTCGAAGATATCATGGCAAAAAAAATAAATTTTATTTGGATATTGGCGTCCAAGCAGACATGTAGCTAGGATTTTCTAGCTTTTTTATACTTATAAATGAAATGCCTGACAATTTTTTGTCTTTTCAGCGCGGACCATTTTCAATAAAACACGAAACTTCATTTGTACTTTCACCGTTGCGGTGAAAGCCTTTACAACGGCATTGTTAACATGTCACTTGTGACGTCAACCGAGAACTTTAACAACTCCTGGCGATAATCTTGTTTCCGCTTCGGGAAATTCCCGAGTCCTGGCTGTGACGTAATTGATGGATAAAAGTGCAAGTATCAGAAAAACGGTGAATCTTAGAAGAAAACTTTTTCCAGATTTGAAGTCAGCGACAAATTTTGCATAGAATAAGCTAAAGTTATTTTTGCGTGTCAGTTCTCCTTTAAAGCCTTGTATTAATGAAACAAGAAAAGGAAATCTATATGAATGGAAACAATTCCATAAAATAATAGCACAGGTATATGAGAATAATAGGAAATGACCTCAGAATGTCTAGGTACTCGTTAATTGTGTACCAGCATGGACACAAACGAATATCTTATGATATGAAACAACCTACTTGCACATATTCACAGGAAAGTGGAAGGAAGAAATTTCACCATATCCAAGGATTACCAGACTTTACACCACAACCTGAACGTTGAGAAAAGTGCACTCAATAATGTCTCTTCAGCCATATAATAAACCAACCAACATATCCCCACAACATTGAAGTAGCATGTATCAGTGTACATCCAACAACTTTTTCGATCGATAAGGAAAAGTAATAATTTCAAATCACATTGGAAGATAAACTTTTATAACAGTACTTAAAGCCTCGCATTAATGAAACAAGAAAAGGAAATCTGTATGAATGGAAACAATTCCATCAAATAATAGCACGGGTATATGAGAATAATATGAAATGACCTCACAATATCTAGGTACTCGTTAATTGTGTACCAGCATGGACGCAAACGAATGTCTTATGATATGAAACAACCAACTTGCACATATTCACAGGAAAGTTTTTCTCACAAGTTACGTCATCGCTATATGTTCCTAATTTTCTTATAAACCCAATCAATATATTGTAAAGAATCAGCTTTTGCTACATATGATTTATTTATTTAAGAATTTGCCCAATTAGGACATGCTACTTGCACAATGAAGGCAATTTCTATTTTTGCCAGCCACAAGGTGCCAATCCCAGCAAAGTACCACGCCCAATTTTTATAAAAAATGTTCAAATTTCTTATCAAAAATCTGTAAAAATTTCTTATTTTAGCCCCTGTTGATACATTAACAATGGTGATAGGAATCAAAGCCACAAAAAAGAAAACACAAAATATTGATTAATCAGTTCTTTTCATTTTTGGCCCCCAAGTGACTCAATAATTTTATTTAAATGATTTTTTACTTCTTCCCTCTTTTGAGGGCAGACAGTCCTACCATTCCTTAGCTGCAGTTCATGGTCTGCCTTTCCACAAAAACTGCATCTCGTCATGGCTGCTGCTGGTACCTGTAGGAATTATTTTAAATATCAATCATAATGACAACAATAATCAAAATTCTGAAAACTCTGATAAGCATTTACAATATTGTGACCAACTAGAGTTTTTGTAACCAACTATAAAGAAACCCCTCTCTAACTCAGATTGGCAGGGGCTATGCCTCTTCCCCTAGTGCTACCCTCTTGTTTCTCTAATGCTCCCTAATGCTCCCCAATTCATTATAGAATTTGCCCAATTAGGACATGCTATTTGCACAATGATGGCAATTTCTATATTTGCCAGCCACAAGGTGCCAATCCCAGCAAAGTACCACGCCCAATTTCTTATTTTAGCCCCTGTTGATACATTAACAATGGTGATAGGGATCAAAGCCAAAAAAAGGAAAACACAAAAAATTGATTTATCCGTTCATGCAGCTCACCTTATTCCATTTGAATACATACCAGAATTGATTAAATCAGAATTGCCATCTTGTTTTGGTGTTTGATGTGCAATCTAGCAGGAAAGAACAATGTTAAATGAGGAAGGGGAATGACAAATGGAAGTGTGCAATGTCTTACCTCTATTTCTTTTGACATTGTTTGAAAATCCCCGAAATAAAATAATTAAAGCTATTATATATACCATGTCCTCTGCAATGTGAAGATGCTGTTGCAGATGTAGCTACTTCTGGAGCAGTCTCATTCTAAAGCAAAAAGTGGATCTGATGGTTTTGTGGCATCAATGCTAAAAATTTTAACACAAGACAAAAATCATTCATTAAAGGACATAGCTTTTTACATCCATTTTCAAAATATTAAAATTGAATTATGGATTTCTTTAAAGCTAATGTGTAGAAAAACTGTAATTTCATTCCACACCAAGTGATGGCCAATAATTAATACAATAGAAGTTATACAAGGATAAACAGTGTGACAACAGGGAGTAAGGTCGATTTTTGTATCCAAGTTACCATCAAAGAAGTTTTAATTAATTGCAAAAGGAATATCAGTTTAGAATAAATAGAAGATAATAAAAGACATAAAAAAATATATTTATTAAATATTACACACCATAAATCTTGGCCTTTGGGTTTAAAATAAAACATATAGCTGCCACATCCAGTCTGATTATATTTAATTTCTCTTCTATCTGCTTCTTCCTTCGACAATAGTTCTCCGGCATATTCCAGCACAAAAAGACCTTTAGGGATATATTTATAACTTGCATTTATCACACCCCATCCTGCAATGAAAGAGGAGATAGTATCATCAATTGATTCCTTTGTAATTTTATATCTGAAAGATTAAGAATATTTACAACCTTGAAGAAACAACGAAAGTTTATGAACGAAAGGAATGTATTCTTTCACTCCATGTATCAAACAGTTGGGTAGGGATGTCTTACCAACATAATCACCAAGATATGTCTTGCAGAGTCCTGTAAGATATTTTCCTTGTTTAATCATGTACTCAGCATCATTTACAACTCCCTCGCTTTTCATCTTTCTTGTTTTCCTCTGAAAAGAAAAAAATGATTATACTTTTGTGACATGATTGTGAACAGCTATAATATGACATTTTATGATTTAATTCTGAACCCCTGAATGAACACAATTGCTAAGCACAAGAGTGCAATGCTGGGAATAGAAGGCTATGAAGATCCAAAAGTTGAATAAGGTGCTATATGGATAACAGAAAAGGTAGCATCGAGATGAACTTGAAATGTAATGCATTAGAAGTATATTAATAGTTTTAACTACAAAAAACACACAGGTTATTTTTTTCAAAGATGAAAACAAGCCATAATCATAAGCTGAAACTTGTAACTTTCTACAAAAATTGTTCTTACTATTTATTTAGCTTGATTTTACTGTCATGATAGCACAAACTTACCCTTGTGTTGACTGTATGGCTTGTTGCCATTTTACCTAAAAGGAATCAATAAGCAACTTCAGCAGAAAGTGATAGTCTTGCGCAAGTTAAATACCTGGCCCTCAAGTGGTTTTAGTAATTTGCTAATCTCAAGACATTTGCTAGTCAGCGCCTAAATAGACGGGGAGTTCTGTATGGTGATCTTGCGATCGTCATGGCCATTGATTTATGCTTTTTCGGATGGATCGGCCAAGGAAATTGGGGATTTGTCCGGTGCCTTTCTTGATGGGGATTGCCAGGTGGAATCTTGGTCTTCTTGTTTCGATTTAGTGGGGCGCAGGGTCAGGGGTTTGCGTGATTGTTTGATTGTGTGGCGGCATTCCCTATCTAAAAAACTTCCTACTTCGAGGGGTAGATCATATCACTATTGCTTTCCTTTATTTTCTATTGTTCTCTTTTCATATGTAAAAACATTCAACTTGTTGAAGTTTGCATTACATGGTAGATAGGTTAAAGGGGAACTGAAGTGAAAAATGAAAATCATTTAATTAGTAGTTTTCATCGTGCTGATTTCGAATATCGACAAGAAATTAGTGTTTTCTTTTTGTTTTCCTACATTTAATGCGCATTGTGAAATTAACGCAAAGTAAACGAAAACAACATTGTAGTAGAGTGAATCGGAGGGACGGAATTTGGTTAGTAGTTAAAATTTCAGATCGCAATTTTCACGACAGCTCTTCAGGAATGACAACAGACTTAAGATCGAGCGACGATGAAGTTTTTGGAGCATGTGGTGGTGAAGTACTTGCCCTACCAAGGGCGAACGGGACCTGCAAAAGTGGCGATGAAGATTAGCCTAGGCCCGATGAGATCCCAGAGGATGAGGATGAATTATCTTCCGCGACGTGCTCGTTTTGTTGGTAGAAATGAGGAAGTAAATAAATGGTACGTCGATCCTTGTTTCTTTTCTTGCAATGAAGGCAAGTAATACTCAAACTCTATTCCCTTATAAAAAGTAAGATACAACAGAGAATGAGTAGGCTTCCTATTATAATCTTTCCATTTCTAAAATCTGAAATATTAAGGATTATTACATGCTACAATTTAATAAATATTTGCTTTGATATAAAAACGTTTATACATAGTTTGATGTGTGTGCTACAACAGGTCGACCTAATCCACTTTTGGTTTAAAAACTGGTTTGTTTTGTGTACATTGACAAGTATTAATAAATCTTCCTGCAATTCAGATTTTTGGACTGATAATTCGAAAATGTCAAATATTTAATAGAATTGCATAAATATGCCCAAAATAGAATAATACCTAAAATGATATCCACTTTGCTAGGTATCTACAAACAGTGGCCAATCAATGTATGGTTTGCTGGTTTTTGGGTATTTGTGCTGGAATAACTGGACAACTTTAAGTATGCATTTATCACAAATGTAAAGAAAAAAAGTTTAGTCAAAGAAGACAAGGGTTTCAAAATTCTGCAGAGAGACAATGAAAATGCAAAAATCAGCTACCTACTACATATACAGTGGAGAACAGGGTTATATACACGGGGTTATTCAAAAGGACCAGACTTTTAGTTCATAATAGCAAGAAGAGAAATTTGTTGAAACTAGTGGGACAATGGCCAAATCTTGTCAGCCCTAGACCAAATCACTAGATTAGTCACATCAAGGGGGGGGGGGGATTGAGTAAGGCTTGATATTTTGAAGATTCCTAAGGTGTACTTTTCAACATAGTTCACTCACATCAAAATGTGTAGAATAGTTTTAATTTGATCAAGATTTTCTCTTACAATATAATGGTCCTGTACCACCTGCTTGGTAACATTTTTTATAAATAATCAGAGGAAAATGTTTTACCTTCAGGGTACAATGTTCTTTTAATGTATTCTGTCACTGCCTGTTGTTTAGATACACTGTTTTTAAATTTTGAGAATGAAGTTTTTTGTGCCCAATGGTTGTATTTTTCTGAAATTCGCTTCAACTCAACATTTAATAAACTTGGAAACATATACATCATTTAAGGGTTGTGCTTTAAATCCTCCCCCTTTATGAACGTCCTGGTATGAATTGTTTTTTATGCCTGGAGTTAAATCAGAAAATGCTTTGATATCATGTTCTGTAGACAAAGTATGAGAAATCATGTTTGAAGGGGTATTTCTGAAGTGGGGGACCACTTTTATCATTTTCTGCAAGTAAATTGTGTGGGTTTGCCAAGTTTCATGGCTGTATAGTTAACATACTAACGTATTCTGAGTACTGGGCACAAGTGCCCAGTCTAAAAATAGTACAAGGGGTAGTTCTGAGGATGGGGATCATTTTTATCTTTTTCAGCAAGTCAAATTGTGTAGATTTCCCAAGTTTCATGGCTGTATGGTTAACAGAAATATATTTACCATACTATTGTATTCTGAGTACTGGGCACAAGTACCCCAGTCCAAAAATAGCACAAGGGGCATTTCTGAGGGTGGGGACCATTCTTATCATTTTCAGCAAGCCAAATTGTGTCGGTTTGCCAAGTTTTGTGGCTGTATAGTTAACAGAAATAGATTGACCATGCCAACACAAGTACCCCAGGCTAAAAATAGCACAAGGGTTTTTTTCCCAAAATGGGTCTATATTCTATCTTGTTACGCTTATCGAATTCTGTATTTTCACTAAGTTTCATGCTTTTATCACAATTTTCACGATTGTTACCTGTCATGAACCTTATCAGACTCACTACTTCATTTCATCAAAACATCTCTTCGTGTCCACCACTTTACGTCACAAGGTCACGTGACACAGTGGTCTGACCGTGGTCTCGCTCCGCCATCAATGAGGCCAAATTTTGACTTCAAAAACTTAATAACTTAAAAACTACATAACGTATTTAAAAAATCCAAACGGTTTTTGAATCAGAACGGGAACCTTTATCAGTGGTACAAAAATCGTTTTTCACTTCAGTTCCCCTTCAAGAGGCTAGGCCAATCAAAGAACACAGTGCTGATGAATGATGATTCTTTAGCATAATATTAAGGTCAAATGCTAAACTGGTATAGTTTAAAATACAGAATACACTGTTTTAATAACATGTTTTCTTTTCGATGTATCCCTATCACTATAGTTTCTATCGTGCATGCACACATGGCTGATGAAAAGCAGTTCTCTAACTTTCCACGATTGATGGTACCCTAACTTCTACACCTTCATTCTGTGAGACCCATAATTGCATTTAAACAGATAAACCCTGTATACAAAGCTTAACCTGTTAAAGAAGAATTAAAAATATCAAGGTTTGAAATCATACCTGGTTTGAATAATCCACAAGCTAATCGTGCTTTTTATCTGTAGATCCAAAGTAGTACGATGCAGTAAATGAGGACACCCTCCACACATGTTCAAAACGTCACCTTGCCTGTGAAGACCTGCGACAAATATTCTTTGCCCGCATGCAACTCGGTAAACAAATAACCTCTCTTTGATAATTTTCACGCCAATTTTTATACAAAAGCAGATATGTTCTCGGCAAACAACTGTACGAAACAATATGAACAGAATCTGCAAGCATTATTTCAGGGACAAATTTACTCCAAGATGCAATTAAGATGAAAACAATGACGTAGTTAAGGAAATTTTTCGGGAAGGTGGAAAGAGCCAATAAGGCAGGGGTTGAGAAGGGGTTCTATGGGTTGAGAAAATTTTGAAGACCTCAATTTTTACTGCAGCCCTAAAAAAAGATGAAGAATGCTCCTTTTTCAGCATTATGCTAAATGAAAATGGAAAGCGCTGAAGGTTTGATTAAGTTTGATAAGCTTAGTGAAACTCTATTTTTAATCATGGCTGAGCTGCATTGTTAATGTGGCAGACATGTCAAAATTCACTGTTAAATCTATTTGGATCGGGAATGGCGCTACAGGGTGTTAAAGGCAGCTGCTCCTTCAGAAATTCCTAATTACACCCCGTTGGCAGCCAAATGTAAAAATTAGAAAAAAATTGTCGGCACTTGGACTTGATAATGATAAAAAATATTTTTTTGAAGAATGTGTTGAAAAACTGTCACCAGTTCAAGGTTATTTGGGGATTCATAAGCATTAAGTAAAGGTCCTTGTTTGTCATTGGCAACAGAGAAGAGAGGCAAATTTGAAAAATTTAGGGGTCTGTGTATCAAAAGGAATGACCTGTTTCCAAAATGGACCGACTTTTGTGGAGCATGAAAATGATGTTGAGAATGTGTGTTAACGAGAAAATTATTGACACCTTGCAGCCTAAAGAGCAAAGATAATTTAGCAAATACTTTTGCTTTGACCATGTTGCTTCTATATAATCGTTGGTTGATGGTTCCTTTTTCTCCCTAACAGCAACTGCTCGTAATAGTTGAATTTTGTAAATTTCATTCAAGCTGATCCAGATCTAGATGCTTTTTTGGCAATCAATGAATTTTTTATAATTATCTTTAGGATGCTTCAACTGAGTTTTAAGAAATTTCACCAAAAAAATAAGATCAAAATAAATTTATGATAGGGACTGACCTCAGAATAGAAAATTAAATTTATGTATTGGATTGTTTTTTAAACTTCAGAAAAATTTAAAACGTGCAAAATAAAACACTTCTTGGAACACTGCTGGGCCAAAGCCAAGCTTCCTTACCCTTGATTTGAAAAAGACTTACAAGAAAAACTGTTAGTTGTGATAGACTTGTTAACTGACAAATCTCCTTTTATGGTGTCAGTTCAGCTCCCCAGTCCTTTAGCAGCCAGTTTTTGTGCAAATTTCTCATTTGTCTGCAATTTCTGTGAATTCTTCATTTGTCTTCAACTTTTCTCTGTCATCATCAGTTTGCTTCACAAAGCAGCCCTTTTTGTCTCTTTCTTGTTGCAAAGAAATAACTCAATATTTTGCTGTTTCCTTTTATTTTCAGCTCAAGCTGCACCACATGAGCTGCTCAGGCTGTTCCCTTTATAGAATCCCAGATGTTTTTAGGTGCCATGCATTCAAATATTGGATAGCATCTAAAGGGCTATTTTTACCATCCTCAACAGACATCCTTTCGTTCCTTGGAGTTTACCAATGTCTCTATTTGAACCATTTGAGTCAGCTCCATCATGCCCTGCTTTCCATGACTTCCTTTGATTTGTTCACCATATGCTGCCTTTGGTGATTACCAAATGATTGTGATTGAATGTTTTGCATTAAAAGGGGAAAATCAATACATGACCGTTTGTGGATGCATATTCTACTCAGCATACCTGGATATATAGATAGATTGATGAATAGATAACTAAAACGTAATTTATAGAGGGTAAGCAAGGTTAGACTAACAAATACTCTACCTCTGCGTTCCTATCTTCCAGCTAAGAAATAATTGTAATTATAATTCCAAAATGTAACAAGTTATTTGTAACTGTGATTAAGTTACAAGCATAATTATAAAAATATAGCTAGCTATGGTGATCTCCAACCTCCCCTTGTCACCACCCACGCCACCAATGAACTGTA